AAGCCTGGAATTACTTATGCGGTGGTAGCAGAACACTACTCCTTGAATATGGAAGTAATAGCAATTCCTTAGATGCTCTCATTAGTCTCTCTGAAGAAGTTCTTGGGATGGGACCTGAACCGTTCCTGATAAAAATAGACCCAAACCTAAGGGGATGGTCAGAAATTGTTCTGACTTGAAATAAATTGGAAATATAGCCTTTTTGTAGCTGGGGAAGGGGTTGAGCTCTTCTTTTTTCAAAATTTGACATGTTTCAAGCCATTTCCTGAAGCAAGATTTAAGAATTACATATTATGAACCTTTAAATTTTGTGTTCAGCAAAGGCTGTCCTGATCCTTCTGAATTTCTTGAAGAGTAAGTCTAGAAAATATTATTAAAGTATGCCATGAGCAAAAGAAAACTAAAATATTCCCTGTGTTTTGTCATATTATATTGACAGATACAACATTTATTTCCAGAGTAAGAAGTTGGCCAGTGCCTCTCTTAATTTAAAAAAGAAAGTCTAACTTAGTATTTAAAAATAATATGCAAATATTTGTTCTCATTCTACTTTTTTTATCCCTAGATTAGAATGTGTCATTTTTATAAAGCATAATTGTATTTAGGGTTGAATTGACTTCTAGTATACAAATATCTAGAATTTTTAAAAATGAATGAAGCATTCGTTTTTCTGTGAGGACAACTTCTTGAATTAGAAATGGGGAAACTAGCCTACAAAGAAAAAGATTCAAACTGCAGCTGAATTCACAAAGGCCTGGGGAGGGTGCACAGCCCAGCCTTAGGAAGAGAGAGAATACAAGTTATTTGGTTCGATGAAATAAGATAACATTACAAGTATGAAACTAGCAGGTGCCCTTATTCAAAAAGAAGTCAACTTCCTGAAAAGTCTCTTTCTGAATCTCATTTCAGTCATTAAAAATTGAGTCAAAGTCAAGTTTGCTCATAAGAAACAGGGAAGAAATCTGATTCATACTTTCAAGAAATACTTGAAAGAACCCAGAACTGGGTACCTATTTTCTCCTAGAAATAGGCATTGAAAAGGAGTCTCATTAGAGATGCTGTGGATGAAAAGAAAACATCAGATTAGATGAGGTCAGAGAAATTGGCTGGCCCTGAATAGTATGACAGCGTTTATTGCCAGATTCTAAGACCCTCTGTGCTTGCATCACACAGTTTGACTGCTGTAGCAAGATTATTTTTAGCTGCTTTTCCACATTTCAGCTAAGCCTCCTCCATATTATTTTTGTTTCACTTGCATTTATAAGCCACAGAGTGCTACCGATATATGTGCATAAATATGTACATATGTGTGTGCACATTCTTGAAATTTCTTGTGGAGATTTCTAAAGATTTAAGCAATAAGGAATCTCTACTATATACAATATTAACCTGTAGCTTCAGTCTTTTGGGGGCAAGAGAGACATAATTTTGCTTCCCTAGGTAATTATTAGTATGATTTTCAATATAACAAATTCACTCTGCCCTGTTCTGCTATTAAAGTCACAGATGCGCTGTAAGTGTAGGTCCTCAGTTCTGCTGGAACTTGCCCAATTCAATCCTATATTGAGATGTTTTCCAAGGTGGAGTTAATCCTGTAGCATTTGCATATGACTTTGGAACCACTAAGTCTTAAATGAAGCCTTTTGCTGTTGTTTTTTGCACAGCAGTCAGCAAACAACATTCCAAATGTCTCCCTCTGGCTAAAGCCATTCTGGGGCAGTGGACGCACTGCTCAAGACTTGCTTCGAAGTTTATTTTTCACTGGTCTCCCTTCCCTACTCATAGAAAAAGGAGCTTTGTTTGCTTTTTTTTTTTTTTTTTTTTTGGTCAGTCCATCCATTTATCTCTTTATCATCACTTCAGAGAAGTTGTCTTGGTTTAAAAAAAAATGAATGGAGCAATGGGTCAACTTCCGTTCCTTGCCACTGGCCACCTCATTCATTTAACTATTAAATGCGTGAACTGTTTTCTTGTGACATTTCGCATTTCCTCTGCCTCTCTGTGCCAATAAAGTTCTTTAGCACATGAAGGAAGGCCCAAATCAGCTCAGTCTTACTCCACAGTGCAGCACTGTTGACAGACACATCACCTGTCACTTCAGTCTCTTCCCACAGGAAGACAAGACTGTATGGCTTCCTTGGGAGAATAGGAGCATTTGCCTAACATGACCCTGCTTTGATTTATGTGTGGTGTCATCCTGGCTCTAGATCCACAATCCCCTCTGCACATCAGAAGCTTAGCATGAGGCATTGACATGGTTGCCATGGCAGATTGACTCTTAAGGAGACATTTCTGAATTTGGTGCCTGCTGTTGGAAGTTTCTCTGCTAGAGACAGGGCAGGGCTTTTAGTAGAAAGTCATTGGGAAAAGGCCCTGGCACCCCAGATATAATGGATTTTTTAATAGCAGCAGAGGCCAAGGTCACAGTCTCCTGTAACTTTAGTTAAGCTCACATGTATGTGAGGAAGTAAGTGTAGGTTTCCATTAGAAAATCCTTCTAAGTTCTGTTTAGTTAGGCAATGATTAGGTCCATTTATTAGCTGGTGTATTCCATGACTGCTGACAGCCTTAGCCTCCTCATCAGATTCTCGGTAGTGTAGGTGGAAAGAAGCAAATTGACTCCACGAACATTTGAAATTTAGCTGCTATCTCTGTGGTATTGTTCTCCATATACAAAGATGGGAGACTCTCCTAGCAGAATGCCACCATGACCACACATGTTCAGTTATCTGTCACCTGTATCCAGGCTGGATGCTAAGGTTTCCACCAGCTCTGAGCCCAGTATCTCCAATAGGACCTCTTTCTGTGATTTTGGGCTGGCTCTAATTCTGGCTGTGGAAAGGAGCTCCATTTTCTACCTAGCACCCATGTGGTAGGCAATCTCCAGAGCCCCCACGAGATGTTCTGAAATGGTTGCAGAGGTATCTGAAAGCAAAGTCGCCTCAGCTGGAACATTCCAGCACTCAGGGCAGCCCTGAAAAAGTCGGCTCAATTTTATATAAATACTTAGACAGGCATGAAATGGATTTTCTGGATGTCTGGCTTTTCTTCCTATTGGCTTCTCTTCACTTTTTGCTGTGGTTTCCTTTTTTTTTTTTTTAATTTTCTGCCTTTTTGTTGTTTTCTCTCTTGTGCTAATCCTGATCCAACCAGGTAGCTTCCAAGGAGCCTCTTAAAATAGTTGTTTCATGGACAGTACAAGCTGCTTAAGGTCAATTAAAAACATAATTGTTAGATAACAATTCCTGGCTTTTGATCAAGTCTACCCAATTTAGACATTTTCCAGGTTACCAGCACTAAATGTGGCAGCTACCACTTCTCCCCTCATTTTTTGTATTTGGTCATAAAGACCTTCCTAGCCTCTCTGATTGTGTCCCTTCACACATGGCACTGCCCTTGCAGACACGTGAGAATTTCTATTTCCAGACAAATAGAAGATTTAGGGGCCGATCTCTGAGACCCCTTGCTCTCACTCAGGGCTGGTGAGTACCTGTTGATTTCCACAAACACCCTGACGCCTGCTCACCCTCAGACACACTTGGTGAAAAGCACCAGATTTTGACGTCTAGTTTTTCTGCTTTAAAATGGGGGCTAGGAAAGATCATCTGTGACTCAAGTCCTTATTCACTTTTAACAAAAGCAGAGCTTCTTACTTGAGGATGTTGAGGTCTCCTTAGTTAAAAACACAAAAAGAGAGATAATACATGGCAGAAGGCACTTTCCTTGCATGCTCCTGGCACTGCATATTGGCCCCTGAGTCCCATCACAGGTGGGAAGAGAACCAATAGGAAGCACAGAGCCAGGAGTAAGCCCTGAGCACTGGCAGGTTTGGCTCAGCCCACCACACATGCACATACACAGTCTCACCCGTGAAGTGTTCACGCAGCCATGGGTGGGCAGACACCCTTTTGGAGGGGAGATGCTGGAGATGGAATTTGATGACTTCCCTAAAAAACATTTAAAAATACATGCAGCTCCATTTTCTGTTAGCCGTGCAGCAGTCAAAATAAAGTGGGCCTGGCAGGAGCCAGTGCCGGGGGAAGGTTATGAATAGACTCCTTTTGTGAAGCCGTCTCTTCACACGCCCAGAAAACCAACCGAGAGGAACCGCCGACTCCCTCAGCGCAGATTTTGGTTTGGGCCCTCCCTTGCATGACCTCAATTTCAGTTGGCCAGTTATGTGAGTTTGGTTGCTTTTTCCTAATTTTCTGGAAAAGCCATTTTTGTTGGGGGCTCTGCAGATGTTGCCCAAGATGCAACAGGGCCAGACATCTTGGTAAAAACCATTCGCAGCTCACTGGGTGCACCCCAGTGGCCCCCTGAATGCAGGCCTTGTTACTTAGAAGTGCTTTCAGTATAAAGTTGGGCCTGAACCTGGGAGACCATGGGAAAGACTCAGCCCATTCACGTGGATCCCTGAGGTCCGTGTTCCCATGGGGCCTACTACCCAAGGCTGCACCCTTTTTACATGGTGATATTTCCTTGGCTACTTGATTGGGAAAACTCATGCCCCTCCTCTCATTCAGCCCAGCACTGGCCACAAAGCCTGGATCTCTGCTCTACTTAGACACCCTCCCTAAGGACAGAAGTAAAGTTTTGATGTATTTACAAAATCAAGTTGTCCAGCCCATGTTTTTCCTCTCCTGGCACATGGCCACCTCACCAGGCTGTCAGCCTCCCCAAATTTGTCATCTGCTGCTGCAGATCCTGATTCCCGGAGTTAGAACCCAAAGCAGGTCAAAGGCTAAGGCTGGGTGTGTGGGTTGAGAGGTTTAGTCCCCTTGGAGTTACCCAGCCAGCAAGTGGTACGGAAAACATCTTTCTGATTTGTCCCCAATGTCTGTACCCTGCCAGGCCTGTATTTAATTAACCATGTACCTTGATGGAGTTGTAAGACACTTAGCAGCATCCCTCAGGGTGAAGAGATATTGGGGATGAAGAGGTATTGGCCCAGGCGAAAGGGGGGGGAATAACCTATTTCATTTTATTTTTCTTTCCAGTTCTCTCAGGCCAGGCACACCACAGCCCTTTGAAACGATCTGTGTCCCTTACCCCACCCATGAATGTGCCAAACCAGCCTCTAGGACATGGATGGATGTCTCATGAGGACTTACGAGCTAGAGGACCTCAGTGCCTCCCATCCGATCATGCCCCCCTGTCTCCACAAAGCAGTGTAGCCTCTTCGGGAAGTGGTGGGAGTGAACACTTAGAAGATCAGACCACTGCTCGTAACACATTCCAAGAAGAAGGTAGTGGTATGAAAGGTGAGTGACGGAACAAGAACCCACTGGGCACACAGCCCTTCTCTTCAGGTCAAGTCTCAAGGGGTGGAAAGAGAGATAGTCAGAGAGGAGTGATTCCCCACCGAGGCCTGTGTGTACCCCCACCCCTCACACAGCTGACCACAGCCCAAAGGCATCGTGTCCAAACCCAGGAATCAGGAGCCAGAGAGGTAGATACACCTCCCCTCTCCTCTTTTCTCCCATTTTTTTTTCACTTGCAGTGAGGTGAGCCCGCATTTCCCAGGGACAGGAGCTCCTGTTTCATGTCAGAGCCTCCACTACCCAGTGTTTGGAGACCGGGGGCAGTGCCCCAACACCACATCTAGCACTGCTCCGTGGCCAGGGAACCTGCAGGAATCCAGCAAAACAAACAGCAGGATCTTTCTTTGCAATCTCTCCTACTACAGAATCACTGTGGTGCTTCCTTTCTCTCTCCCTTTTCTTTGATAGCCAAGGAAACCTTTAAGGCCTTGTCTCTGCCTCCATTTAGGAGACAGGAAAATCCTCCAAGACTCTCTGACAGTGTTTTAAGCCTGGAAAGAGATTTGCATGCAGGTGATGAAGGGCTTTTGTGCTGCACAAATGAGTGTTCTTACATTGCCCTGTAAATCTCCCCTCTCCTCAAGAGACTCCTCAGGAGAGAGAGTTCCCAGCCACCCACGAGAGGCTCAAACCCAGCACGTGCCTGGGCCCTGTATTTTCAGACTTAGTCGGTCCAGATCTGGGAAGTCTTTTGGGAAAGATGCTCATCAGAGATACACTAATAACATTTTAGATGGAGGAGCAAACAACCAGGCACCCTCAGGGCTAGGACGCCAAGGGGAGGCTCGAGGGCGCCCCTCTTAGCCAGAGAAGTGCAGAGAAGAAGCAGAAAGGCTCTGTAATGAGTTTTCGGTCTAACACAGAAGCCTGGCACAGTAAGATGCCCAGATGCCCCCCTGTAAAGGTGCCCCAGGCTGCACATGGAGCTCTCACCTTGTGGGGGGAGTGAAGCTGGCACGCAGCCACTTTCCTGGTGCTCCCTGACTCTCCCTCTATGCTGCTCAGTCCTGCATCTCCTCCCCCATAAACACACACACACACACACACACACACACACACACACACACACACACACTCCGGCTCTTGAAGGGTCTGTGCTGAGTGACCTGGGCTACTGCCTCGAGTCTCTGAATTTCCTCTGGAGAAACGTGTCTTTAAAGACATGTTTTTGATCATGAGAGGGCGGGGAGGAGGGGTCCTCTTCGTCTTCAGCAAGGGGAATATAGCATGATATCAGGGATTGCAAACCCACTTCTGAGCGTGTGCCCTCAAGGTTCTGAGCTCACACAGCTATGCCCCCAGGTGATGGGGAACATTAGCTATGCTTTAGGAAAGCCTGGCTGGACGTCTGGCACCGCATATCATATTCAGGTACCTGAAGAAGCAAGAGAGGTGGTAAGAATCAGCTCCAGTTTAGCTTCTTCCCAGGTGAAGGGGCTGAGTCCAGCAGGTGGCTTGTGACCAGGAAAGCATATGTGTGGTAACCTTGGGAAGGAGTCCTGATCTTTGTGTCAGGAACAGGGGGGATCTTGGGAAAGACTGTTCACTAGGATACAGACCTCTCCCAGAGAAGAATTCTGCTACATTGCCTGGTTTGGGGAGATTTGTTTTCTTTACTTTCTTCCCCTGCTTTTTTTCCTCCCCCAAACCCATGCTTTTTTTTTTTAAGACTTTGCCCGCACAGACCCTCTCCCAAGGCATGTGGAGATGTGCTTATTGTGTGCTCACATGATGAAGGGGAAAGCATGAAGAGCAGACTCTTGAAAAGAATGAGGGAGAAATTAAAGAAATTTTAAATCTGTTTTTTTTAATTAGAGGTTGTCTTTAGACAGCAAAAGACAGAATCAAGATTTTGTATTTTGATTTTGTATTGAAGATTTTTCCTTAGAGATCCAATGTGGGTGTGATCAGAAAAAGGATTCTTTGGTGATTGGACAACACAAGACCCTCTTTCTTTAATCTACCTTCAGCTGATTATTTGAACTGTCCTTCCCTCCCCCCAAGAATTGGATTGGGATTCAAAGAATAAAATCCTTAGTGTATTAATGGGCAAAAGAAAAGATTATTGGGGGAGGGAAAGACATAACAGATGATAAGGGAGTCTTCTGTTTGTGGGAGAAGTATATTTGTAGTTGGGCTGAGAGGTCAAGCAGGACAAAGGATCACCCCAGAAAGCAGACCGGCGGGCAGTCATTGTTCAACCTGCATGCCCTCCTCAGCCCTGCCTGGGACCTGAAGCAAGGGACCAGCCCAGCTTGGGAGGGGGCCCTCCTAGCCGCCTTCAGAGCCTCTTCCAAGGGTGTGTCATTTGATTCACAAATCCAGGAACAGATGCCCATTAAAATTTCCAGATTAATTCGTACTTTCTGAAAATTAAATCTGAAGTCAATGAAGGGCTTTTAGAGGGAGCCAGCCCTTCCTCTCAGGGCCACGTCTCCTTCTTGGGACCAGGCCTGCTGCCCTGTCAATGCTTGGAAACTGCTTGTTTGTTCCACCTCAGATGCCATCATCTGGTGGTTATTTTTCTAATTTTCAGACGCCCAATTTCTGAGGACAAGAAGGAATCTGTAGTAGAACTTGGAGGACTTCCAAATCTCCAGGAGCTACCCAGCAGCCCTCACCCCACACCTTGGGGAAAGACTATAAAGGCATCGTAATTGAACCTAATTTAGTGTGAATTCATCTTTCCTGCCAGCAGCTGTTCATCTCTTACTGAAACATGATGTTCATCCATTCCTTCCTTTTCATCAACACAGACCAGCCAGGCGTGGCTCTGAATTGTCCTGCAGGAACAGATCGCTTGGGTCAGGAGTGTGACCTGGAACCCAGGGCCCTGCATTCCTGCTCTTTCAGGGATTGATGTACAAGGATCGCACCTTCTGTCTTCATCGGTGTCCACCCCACACCCCAACCCCCGCTGGGACGGCCACTTCCATCCACTCCCAACTAGAATAGCTTCTGCTCTCACAGGGCTAGCTTCAGCTGCTGCTTGGCTTCGTGAATCCTTTTTATAGCAAATATCTGTCCTAAAGTGTAAGTAGCTCCAAAGTTCAGATCTCAGGCTGATATCTGAGGCTAAAGCAGAGGTTGCCAAACTAGTTTAGTCAGTGACCTTCTTTTCAGAAAGAAATCACTCAGCAGCCTCCCCTCCTAGAAATCTACCTTATTGAAGTGCACAATGCATCCCCCACGTTTGTATCACACAGATACTACTGACCTTCTCTCCCCTGATGTCCCATTATTGCTGCACATCTCCCACCAGGAGCAGAATTGCTCACTTTGGTAAACACTGAACTAAAGAGAAAGTGGAATGAGCTGAATATTTGGGAATCAATGCAAGAGAAGAGAAGAACTGACAGGAAGATGAGAGTTTCCCTGTAGCTCACCCCATGAAGGTGACAGGTTGAATGTGTTTGGACTAAACGTATTGGTTGCTAACTTCGTTTATTTCGTGCTCTTCAAAAATTTCACTGATCTCAGGAGAAAGAGTCTTGGTTCTGAGTCAGTCTTCAGTGATGGTATTCTTCCCTGGGCATTATGTGAAAAGAATGTGCCTATCTCTTCTCTCCTTCAAAACCCTAAGGGGAAAAATACTTTCTTATGATTTCCTAGAAGGAAGAGAAATTAAAGACTAGCCAAAGTACCAAAAGAATCATGGCCTCCAAACTGATGTAGAAACCCATTACCTAGCATGACAGGGCTGATGGATAGTGATGTTGCCATATTCTCTAGAGCAGAGACTAGGGAAGAAAGATGTTAAAAGGGGTCGCCTTTGTCCTCTTCAAATCACTTGACATTTTTGAGCCTCTACTGAATAGAGAGATTTTTTGACCTAGCCACTGGGGAGACAGAGATAGGAGAGATGGTTCCTGTTGAGGAGATTCTCTGTCAGCATGCCAAGAGCTTTGATTAGAGGGAAATTCTAGAAAAATCAAGTTCTTGGAGGAAAAGAGGTCCTGGTTCTGAGTCTCAATATGATTATAAACTAGACAAATATCTACAATGACAGAAGGATATTCTAGGTGGAGAAAGCAGCTTGCAGGTGAGGCAGTGAGACAGCTGAGGCATAGGTATACAATGTGATTTGCCTATGAAGGGCATCTGGAGAGTAAAGTCAGATACTAGAATGGGCAAAGTATTGGGGCTTTTTTCTATACATTGATGCTAATGAATAACTCGAGCAGCAGACTGACATGCTTCATTTTGTATATTCAAAATAGAACCTTAGCAGCAGGTAGGGGTGATATCAAAGGAAGGGGGGGGGGTCAGCGGATACCAAATCCCAAGGTTAATCATGCAGTAGAGAATATTTCAGGAAATGTGAAAGACAAAACAGTGAGAACAAGGTGTATGACAGTAATCACTAGAGACCCAGAGTGCTTGCACAAGGTTTTCATGGGTAACCTTGCAAGACCTCTACGTTGACTGTGCCTAAGTGAATGTACCCAGTGATGGAGTTGGAGAAATTTAGGATGATGCCCAAATTTCTTCCTGAAACAGCTGCATAGCTTGTGGAATCATCTCTAGCAAAGGGTAGAGAAGAGAAGAGACAGATTAGGGGGTCAGCGTGGGATTTGGTGAGGTCAAGAACCTTTAGAACATTTCAGTGGCAGTATGCCAGCTGGGATGGCAATGTGTCAGGAGTTTCCCTGGCCCTGCTTCCTAACAGCCATGGTTCTTCTTAGCTACACACTATTCAAGCCTACTGCCTCCCTGAGTAGCACTCTTCAGGATCTCCATTACAGATGCCTTGGGAGTGAAAACTGTAGAGTTGGGTCCCCAAAGATGTGAAGCTCCATGACTTTCTGAGGGCAGTTATTTGCAGGGATGATGCAGACTGGGAGTCTTATTTCTTTCAACATGAACTTCAGCCTCATCATTAGGGACTAACACTAACTGGGTTAGACTTTAAACGTATGGCATTGCTAGTAGCAAAAAGG